TGTAAGGATTGGGATAACAGTTGTATGAGCCCCTAATAAAATGTTAAAAAAAAAAAAAAAAAAGAAAATGTTCTGGAATTGAATATGGTGATAACTGTACAACAGTTCTTGATAGGACTGAATTATTGCGTTGTATGACACGTGGATGACGTGCTAATAAAACTGTTAAAGAAATAAGAAGAAAGAAAACCAGTCACTAGAAAATCATTTCAAGAAACCCTGGTGGTGCAGGGGGTAAGCCGCTGAGCTTCACCAAAAGGTTCGTGATTCAAATCCACCAGCCACTCCGTGGGAGAACCTCGTGATCTCTTTCCTTAGGACTTGCAGCCTAGGAGATCCTGTGGGCAGTTCCACTCTGCCCGATAGGATCACTACAAGGTGGAACAGAATGGGGACGCATCACAACAACAGAGAACCATTTGCCCAGGCCATTGTGTTGGGACTTTTTGGATTTTTCATTTGAAGACAGAAAGAGGTACTAGGAAAACTAAGATTCATTTACACAACAAATATTTGTGCATCCACGACTACGTGCCTACTGTTGTGTTAAGGACTAAAGAGCCCCGTGTTGTCATCAGAGGTACCTTCCTGAGGACATCCGCACTGGATGGAGCTCCTAAAGCCCCACTATGACTTGAGGAAGAGACTTAAGTCGCCTTCACGTCTCTAAGAGACCCTCTTGGATCCTAGTTCAGAAACAAGACCAACTGAGTAAGTTCAAGGCACCCACTTTGAAGAGCTTAGCTGAGGGGGTAGCCCCTACCACCCCACTCTCTCCCCCTAGCCAGACTCCCAGTAGGGAAACCCAAACCCCACTCAGTCTCTGGCACTTTAAGAGCAAGGCAGGGCCTACTCTCACCTGAGCTTTCTGACCCAATTACCAGGTCCTGCAACTGAAACCTCCCTACGGGGGCACAAGTCACTGTGGCTCTGGGCAGGGGAGTCTGGTGGGTAGTGTGCAGTCCTCTCCTCCTACCCCTCCCCTGTGTTCTTGGCTTTGGTTTAAGTTGTTTTGTAGGGAAGCTAGTCAAACCAAAGAGGGCATTGATACCTCATACAGAGGAAGGAACACACATTCACCCAAGGACAAGTTCTAGCTTCTCCGCCCCAATCGTAACCCTATGGGAGAAACAATTAAGGGAAGGACCAAGAGTATAGGGAACTGGTCAGCCTGGTTGGGGGCTGGGGGGAGGGAATAAGGGGGCTTTTTGGAAATATTGCAATATTGGCAAGTCCTGTTTCTGAGCGTGTCAGATATATGAAATCCCATCTTGATTGATCCAGGGCTTTGAAGCAAAGGGCTTATCCTCTTTGATCCACTGCCCATCAAGAATAAAACTCAAGCAACCTCAGGTCATGGCAAGGAGCTGTCACACAGTGATGGGGTGGGAGAAGCAGGCTGGCAGAGAGATCAGTGATCAGTGATTAAGATCTAGAGCCCTAGTTCTCAGTGTTCTGCTGAGATGGCTCTACATCTGAGTAACCCCGCCTCCTAGCCCCACGGGAAGGAGCTCCAGCCTGCTCCTCCCTGCCCCACCTCCCTCACTGTCAACCTTCTCCACCTACTGAAAGTTTGCCAAGACCTCCCCCTCCTGCTACCACCCGTAATGCAGACTCTAAAAATAGAGAAGGAAGCACTGGAAGCAACAATGGCCAAGGGAGGAATGGTGAGTTGTGGGGCACCCACAGGCTGCAATACAGAAGATACCACAGGCAGCGTTGTTTCTGAAGGATTTGTATCACACTGAGAGGTGATTACAAAAGGAAATGAAGAAGGAACTGGCCCAGACAACATTGGCAACAGCACGGTATTTTCGTCTTGTAACACAGCCTACCGAATTTTAAAAGGGAAAAGAAATACACCAACTCCATAAGATGTTCAGAATGGCTGCCCGGTGAGAGGTTTGAAATGATTTCTTATACTCTCCTATAAGCTTTAGATAAGGAGCCCTAAAGGTGTCATGGGCAACATATTGATCTCCTAACCATAAGGCCAGCAGTTCACACCTGCCAGGAGTTCACGCCCGTCTGCACAACGAAGAGGCTGTCTGCTCCTGTAAGGATTTAAGTCTCAGGAACCCCATGGGGCAGTTGTATTTTGTCCTGTAAGGTCACTATGAGTTGGAACCGATTCAATGGCAGGGAGTGATATAAGTTTTAGAATAGACTCATATTTTCCTACAATCAGCATATTTCAACTTACTTTTTTTTTTTTCCAAAATCTACAAGCTTTTTTTTTTTTTTTGGTAACCACATGAAGCAAAAACAGTTCCTGGTCACTGGAAAGTATGAAAGATGAGGGCCTTGAGCTGGCGAGAAGGTGGTAACAATAATCTTTTAGGGCCGCATAGGCATTCGTTTTTAAATGCACTTTTACTTAAAGTGTTCCATTTCATTCTCACAATCCCAGAAGTGAGATGATTAGTCTCATTTTACAGCAGGGTGAACCAAGGCACAGACAATTTAAGTGCTTTACCTGTGGGTTGGACCCAGCACTCCCAAGTCGGAGCGCCCAATGGCTAATACTTGGTACTGAATCCTCTAGCCTGCCCTCCAAATCCATCCCTCTTCCACTGGCTCCTCACACTCCAAAGAGCCAAACTCACGGCCATTGAGCCAATTCCAAGTTAAAACCCAAACTGCCTCTTTGGGTTTCCAAGACTGTAAATCTCTACAGGAGCAGAAAGCCTCATCTTTCTCCCTTGGAGTGGCTGCTGGGTTTGAATCTCTGACCTACTGGTTTCTCAGTGCACAGCCCACTACAACACCGGGAGCTCCTTGGGTCCTCACACTAAGAAGGCCAAAATAGTAACCAAGCTCTCAACTGCTCAAAGGCAAAAGAAGAGATTAGGAAGGAGAGAGTCTCTGCTAGCCACTCTCCCACACAACGAAATCAAAATCTACTTTCAAAACAAAGCCACCCAAATTCCCATGCCCTCAGAATAACTTGAGCCCAGCAAACTCAGCCCAGTATCTCTGGCCACCCTGACTGTAAAACTCAAGACCTGTGTCTCCAACAGAGAGTTCAGCAACCCCTGGGCAAAGACGCCAACCCAACTGCTCCCCTTACCCTGGGCATTGAGCAGCGGCATGGTCAACCTTCCCAGGGAACTGTCTTCCCCCCACACCCTCATTCCACGCAGCAGTTATTCCATAAATACCCACATCTCTAGCCCCTGTCCAGACTAATTCACTCGGGCCCCACTGGCCCAGAGCTGAGACTGGGCTGTTCGTGATTTGTCAGACAGTTCTTCACAGCGGCCCAGTTTCTCCCCTTTCCTCTTAAAGGGCGCTGAAATGCACCCCCTCTGAAACCCCTAGCCTTGCCTCCAATGAGTCCTTTGGGTAAATTCTAGGTCTCTGCCCATATCCCCATGGTCTTCCTCTCCGCTGGGCGGAAGGTGGGGAATAGAGAGAACTTGCAGGGTTTCGGATGCTGCTGTCTAGGCACTGCATCGAACCCCAAACCCCACTTCTGGGTCAGCACCAGCCGTCATCAGTCCCTACTCAAGCCCCTTCTCCCTTGCCTGGCTGCTGATCTTAACCCCTACCAAGAGAACAGGGTTGGGACGTGGGCACCCCAGAGCAGACTGCAGTAAAGAGCGACACCCCAGGCCTCTTTCCCAGTCAGACCCGGCGGACTTTCTCCACGCCCACCTTCCAGACCCTTCAGGCAAAGAGGGCCTCACCCCCACAGCGACCACGCCCAGCACCACCCTCCCGGAGCTGGGCTACCTAGAAATGCCTGGGTGTTTCCCGGGCCCTGGGCTAGGGGTCTGACTGTATCAAACCAACTCGAGGGGAAAAAAAACCTGACCAAAGATCCGCTCGCCCCGCTCCCAGTTTCTCCCAAAGCCCACGTGGGCCGCGGGACTGGGAAGTCCCCTCTCAGGGAAACAGGGGCAAGAAGCAGGTGAGCCAGAAGGCGAGAGGGGGTGGAGTGGGAGCGTTAGCTACACCTCACTGTAGGGTGGGTGACCTGAGGGCCGGCCGCGAGCAGCACACTTGTTATGGGGGGGGGAGGGGGGGCAGGAAAGGGAGGGAGGCCAGAAGGGTCCGAACGCTCCAGGGCGATGACCAGCCCAAAGCTACCTGTACGCGGGCGAGAGGCACTTAATTCCAGCGAAGCTTCTCAAACAAGCCCACACCAACAGGAGTCCCCAAACAAGCTCTTCTACCCGCGCAAACCCTGGCGCGGACCCTTCTCCACCTGCGGGCGTGTTCCCCTGTCCCTCCAGCGAGTCTCTAGAAGTTGACGTCCTCACCTGTACTCAATCCAGCTACCAAAAGTTGATGGCCCTCCAACTCAGGTCCCAGCTAGGACCACCCGACTCCACGACGCTCTTCGAAGGCCTGAGCAAGGGGCGCCCGCTCCGGGCAGGCAGGAACTGCGGGATCCACTCCCAGCCCCGCACCAGCCCTTACCTGCCTAGCCCAGGTGCGCTACACTCACGTCAGCACCTCCGCCCCAGGACGCCGCAGCCCAGCCGCCGTCCGGCCCCGCCTCCCAGGTGTGGCCACGCCCTCGGGCAGCCGGGATTGGCGGGGTCGGGGAATACGATACTCCTGCGTCCCTGGGAGGGGGAAGGCTCCCCGCCCCGCCCCGCCCCTTCCCCACCGTGCTCTAGCTGTCTAGCACCTCTAACCCGTGCTGAGTGACGTCTCGGAGACTTCCCTCTGGCTCTTAAACCTCAGGACTGGTGGTGGTGGGCACGGGGGGAGCCTGGGAAGTGAGCGCTAGGGAGAGAAGGGGCCTCTAGCCTCTTCACGCCCCATAATTACCCTGCAATATGGAGACAGTTATGCACAAATAAGGGTTTTGAGATTTTAGGTGAACCTTACTACCTGTCTGTAAATGGAATGGAATTTGGGACAAGGACTCGGGATAATTGGTCCAGTCTGGAAGAAGTGGCATGGCTTCCAGGCCAGGAATTCCTCCTCATACTCATGTGGGTATGTTCTTAAACGTCTTGGTTTCATTTTCCTCATCTACTTAATGAAAATAATAATCCCTGTCGTGGCTCTTGGGTGAGGTTTACACTGCTAAGCAAGGTCAGTGGTTCAAACCTACCAGCCACTCTCAGGGAACGATGAGGCTATCAGCTCCCGTAAAGATGTACAGTCCGGAACCCTTATTTCAAGTCGCTGTGAGTCAGAATCCACTCCACGGCAGTGGGTTTGGGTAGTGCAGGGGGTTCGTTGTTGAGCTCTTAGCTACAAAGTTTTCCGTTCAAACCCACCAGCCTCTCAGAGAGAGAAAGATGAAGCTATCTGCTCGCGTCTGGGAATCCCTAAAGGAAAAGGTCTACTTTTCCCCGTAGGATCACTATGAGTCAGAATCGACTGGATGACAGCGTGGATGTTGTTAGGTGCCAGGGAGAAAGTCCAGCTCAAAACCACCTGTGCACAACAGAAGAAGCACTGCCTGGTCCTGTGCTATCCTCACCAGTGTTCTGATGTTTGAGCCCATTGTCACAGCCCCGGTTCCAATCCATCTTGTCAAGGGCCTTCCTCTTTTGAGCTACCCCTCCTCTTTAGCAAGCATGGTGTCTTTCTCCAGGGACTGGTCTCTACTGACAACATGTCTGAAGTATGTGAGACAGTCGCAGCTTCCTTACCTCCAAGGAGCACTCTGATTGTACTGGCAGTCGGTCTAATATAATAATAGAGAGCAGGGCTTTTATTAATTGCTGTCAAGGTTTGCTCTGACTCATGGAAACCTTATGTGTAACAAGAACATTACCTGGACCTGCACAAATTGTATGATGTATGGTATGTTTGAGTCCCTTATTGTGGCCATGATGTCGTGCCTTCCAACTCAGGGGGCTCGTTGACCAGCATGCTATCAGACAAGATCCTGCTGAGATCCATTGAGTTTTCGTTAGCTAGTTTTCAGAAGTACATGGCCAGGTCTCCCTTCCTATTCTGCCTTAGTCTGGACGCTCCATTGAAGCCTGTCCACCATGCCTGCCCCTCCCCCCAGAAGAATTTATTTCAAAGGACGGCACTGGATCCGCAGCTCCAGGAAAGGGACATATCTGATCGGAGCAC